TATCAACCATTATTATATCTTTTCTTTCAGCATACTTATATTGGATGAATGCCCCCCAGACCAGGCGGATTAGTCGGAGTCAGGGGAAGCCCTGCCCAAATTTTTTTTGAAGGGTGTTCCATAAAAACATAAAAAGCATTTTCAACATTATACAGGCCCTGGGTGAAATAAATTTCGGAGCGGAGGAAAGGAAATTTTTTATATTTTGTTAATTATTTTGAATATCATTATAGCATGTATAGATTGAGATATACTGTAAACAGCAAAAATATCAAGCAAAGAAAGATCTACAACATAAGTTAACATGACCAAATGGCAATTGACATCTTATTGGAGTTATAATAATTGTCCTTTAAAGTTATTTTCTGCAATTTATTGGTAATTTTTGTAAATATTTTCAAAAATCGCCTGCTTTTAATTTAACTACTGGGCCAAATTAAACCAAACTTGGCCTCAATCATTATTAGGGTATCTTTATGATTTTAACTTTATTTTACATGATTTCCAAAACTACAGTAGATACAGGTGAGCGACACAGGCTCTTGAGAGCCTCTAGCTTATAGTTCCAACATTCTTTTGTGTTTAAATAATCAATAATGAATTTCAACATTTTTTTCATTAAATCAAGGACCGGGTGTTAAATTTACAGTTCTTATTTCTCCTTATGTTCTTGATGGCATTTTAACAAAACTTTCCCAAAAATATCTAAGTTATATGTTGACATATATTATTGCATAGCTAAATATTAAATATGAATATTTTTGTCGATAATTTCTGTAGATTAAAGATATTTTTTTCATTTTCTAACATGTTGAAATCAAGGGTAAACATCACTAACTCTGGCAATCGGGCATAAATATGACAAGCTGAATTTGTGGAGCAGTCCCAGAGCAGGCTTCCATAGATAAAAATTCTCAGATATCATGAGGGACTACCCAGATATTGTCCGAAATGTCCAAAAATTGTGATTTTTTAAAATCCCCCCATTTGAACATTGACCACAGTTTTCAAAACTCGGCACCACTTTGGCACTCTAGGACATGCCTTAATCAATAGGTATTATATATATTTATCTTCAAAATAAGACCAAAATTAGCCGTGAGGTATTTCGGGCGCATTGCATTTGCGCCAATTTTTACCAAATCCAATCTTTCATTTGCGCCACAATGTTATATTTCATTTGCACCAAAAAATAAAGACTACATAAGCGCCATTTTACAGGTAACATATAACGGAAAAGTTTAAATATTCATTGCTTTATCGCCAATAAGATTTTCTTTTATAGTATTCCCCCTGGGTTATTAATTGAGTTCATACTCATTTCTAAAACAAACATGACAGTCACTTTGGTTTAAAATCATATAGTGTTCACATGTTTGAGGTGTCAAGATGGACATTGTCAATTCGAGGACAAACAGAGAAAATCAGTCTTTAATTTACGATGACCACACATATAGGTTATCTAATGATCAGAAAAAATGGGACAAGTAGTTTAGGCGTACCGAAAAAAACAAAACAACAGATATGGACAACAAAAAAATAAAAAAAACTTTGAACAAACACAACAATGGTTTTCATAGAACGTATCAGTGTTAAGTGCTTTCATTATGGTTCTGTGCTATGATGACTAATTTCTGACGAATATGTTTTATTATGCAAATAAAAACTGTGTTTTAAAATTATTATTTAAAGTTTCTTTTGAATAAATCTATATTTTAAGCTCACCAGTGAGTGGCCCAAAGGTTTAATATTATTAGGACCCTATGGAAAATACATACAAATGTCTTCTTTTGAGAACCACTGAATGGATGGAACTAAACATGACATGAATGTTCCTTTATATGAGGTGTTGACCTAGTGTTGTTACTTTGCAGTCTGTCATGATCATCCAAGATGGCTGCCAGGGGGGAACTTAGTTTAACATAAGGACCCTATGGGAAATACATACAAATGTCTTCTTTTAGAGAACCACTGAATGGAATGGAACCAAACATGGCATGAATGTTCCTTATTAGGTGCTGACTAAGTGTTGTTACTTTGAAGCCGATCCATAGTCCAAGATGGCCGCCAGCAGGGGACTTAGTTTAACATAGGACACTATGGGAAATACATACAAATGTCTTCTTTTAGAGAACCACTGAATGGAATGAAACCAAACATGGCATGAATGTACCTTATGGGGTGCTAACCGAGTGTTGTTACTTTGAAGCCGAACCATAATCCAAGATGGTGGCCTGCGGGGGACTTATTTTAACATAGGACCTATGGGAAATATTTACAAATGTCTTCTTTTAGAGAACCACTGAATGGAATGAAAAGAAACATGGCATGAATGTTCCTTATGAGGTGCTGACCAAGTTTTGTTACTTTGAAGCCGATCCATCATCCAAGGTGGTCGCCAGCGGGGGACTTAGTTTAACATAGAACCCTATGGGAAATACATACACATGTCTTCTTTTAGAGAACCACTGAATGGAATGATAGAAACATGGCATGAATGTTCCTTTTGAGGTGCTGACCAAGTGTTGTTACTTTGAAGCCGATCCATAATCCAAGATGGCCGCTAGCGGGGGACTTATTTCAACATAGGACCCTATGGGAAATACAAACAACTGTCTTCTTATAGAGAACCAGTGAATGGAATGAAACCAAACATGGCATGAATGTTCCTTATGAGGTGCTGACCAAGTGTTGTTACTTTGAAGCCGATCCATCATGCAAGATGGCCGCCAGCGGGGGACTTAGTTTAACATAGGACCCTATATATATGGGAAATACATACAAATGTCTTCTTTTAAAGAACCACTGAATGGAATGAAACCAAACATGGCATGAATGTTCCTTTTGAGGTGCTGACCAAGTGTTCTTACTTTGAAGCAGATCCATAATCCAAGATGGTCGCCAGCGGGGAACTTAGTTTAACATAGGACCCTATGGGAAATACATACAAATGTCTTCTTATAAAGAACCACTGAACGGAATGAAACCAAACATGGCATGAATGTTCCTTATGAAGTGCTGACCAAGTGTTGTTACTTTGAAGCCGATCCATCATCCAAGATGGCCACCAGCTAGGGACAGTGTTTAACAAAGGACCCTATGGACAATACATACAAATGTCTTCTTTTAGAGAACCACTGAATTGATTGAAACCAAACATGGCCTGAATGTTCCTTATGAGGTGCTGACTAAGTGTTGTTACTTTGAAGCTGATCCTTCAACCAAGATGGCCACCAGCGGGGGGAATTCCTTTAACATAGGACCCTATTGGAAATACATACAAATGCTTCTTCTAGATAGGGGTGCACTTAATGGAATAAAACAAAAGTAGAATCAGGTGAGCGACACATGCTCTTGAGAGCCTCTAGGTGATATAATTTGTCCCAAAAATAGTACACTATACACTGTAAAAAATCTTTTTTGGATATCGCAGGTGCAATGTTTTTAATTTGCGTTTTTTGTCTAAAAGAAATGCACTACGAAATAACTGTGTTCTCGGCCATTTTGAAATCTATTACAAAATGAATATATTTGGTTGATAATAATTTTGATCATTTATTGTATATCATATTAATAAATAAAGATAGCATTTATATATGATTTAGATCAGCTAATTTTTGGAAACATACAATTTGATATTATCTTCTATAATTATACTAAAGATTATAATTTTCATTTCCTGTTTTATTGATTTTTCCTATCGAGTTCACCTGTAAAACAATGGTAAACATGAACCTTTGCAGGTACAAAATATGAAACAAGATTGTCAACCTGTGCCAGTAAAATTACACATCTGGATGACCACCTGTTAATTGGCCCAGCAGATAGCAATATTTCACTTCCCTAGCAGTCCATGGTTTATGACCCCCAATAAATGCCTGACATCCAATGTCAGACATAGGGGATGCTGATGATTAATCAGACTATGTCCCAGTGTGTACTGTACTTGTCACCTTAGACACACAACCATTGTTTTTTGTATTTTGATTATCTTCAAGGTAAAATGAATATGTTTTACCGAAAAAATCATGTAAAAAGTAAAATAGCTTTTTATTTTTCAATTGTGTATATAAATATGTGTATTGGTCTGCTTCGTTCTCTATTGTGTTTTCTCGTTTTCTCATTTGTTTTTTTTTTTTTTCACTGATAAATAAAGAATGAGTACAATACATATAATTTTTTTTTTAAATAAAATTTTGTCCGGAATAAAAGCAATCAAATGAATTCAATTAATGTCCATGCCGTACAAAATAAGCTCTCTGGAATAAGCAGTTAAATATGGGGATAAGTATGTATATTCCCTGCAAATAATGACAATTACCAAATTCATTTATTATGTATACATGTATGTATATTGTATAACCATTACAACTGTATATAACTGCTTAAATTTACAATCTCAGTCAACAAATTTCGAATGTCCAGGTGATGTTCACACCTCGAACTGCTTGTAATAAATGGCACGTTATCACCGCAACCGATTGATAATATAAGACAAATCTGTGTGTTGTGTGCAGAATGTCATCCCTTTTCTGGATATGAAGTGAACAATACAGTTTAAGATAATAATAATTAGAAGTGATAAGATTGCCAATGATACATATACTACACAAAAGACCAAAGGACTGCCTTCAACAATGAGTCAAACCCACATAGTACACCAAAGACTAAAAGGCAGCCTTCAACGATGAGTTAATCCATAAACTACACCAAAGACCAAATAACTGCCTTCAACAATGAGTAAAACCCATATACTACACAAAAAAACAAAGAACTGCCTTCAACAATGAGTAAAACCTATACTGTAATAAAGTTTTATAGGTCTAATGGTAATAAAATGTACACAATTCAAATGAAAAATTATCGGCTTGATTTATGCTATAAAGGAAGACACCAACCAACGACAACCGTAGAAATATTCCCTAGTATTGATTTTGCTCAAAATTTTGAATGTCATTTGCTTTACTCTTATTACTTTTATTATCTAATGTATTTTCCAGATGTTCCAGATTCTAAAACATTTGATGTGACGTTGATGACACTATTACTGAGGAACTTGACTCCAATGACCCCTCCTCATTGTGGATTTGACCGTTTACCTTCTGCCATGGAAACCACATCAGCTGCAGATTTAGCAAGGATAAAACACTACAGGAATTACCTGGCTCATCTGGATGAAGGCAAACTAGACACAGGGTTCTTCAATACTGCTTGGGATGATATAACTTGTGTATGTATGTATATATATCAAGGTTCATTTAATTGAGTTTAGGTCACCAGTGTTGGAAGATATTTGAAACAAAATTACAAGAAACCAAATAGAAATTAATTTGCCTTTAACACACTTATGAAATTTATTTACAGAAAATACATGTTTTTGTTTTTTGTCTCGCCTGCGATGAAAGTCGCTTAAAGTGAGACATAGGGACTGCTTTTCAGGCGACAGCGTCAACAATTGTTAAGTATTCTGCCTAAGTTAGTTTGATAGGAACTCCTTGTGATAGATCCATGATATTTTATGTAAAGTTGCGTTACTATCAGTACATATCAGTTTACCGACTATTTTGAGGCCCTGCCCCCTAGGTCATGGTCTACATGGTCTAGTGGCTATGAATTAATTAGCAATTTTCATTGTAAAGTTTTTTGCTTAAGTTAGCTTGATGTGATCTACTTGTGATAGATCAATGATATTTTCTATGAAGTTGCATTACTATCTGTACATATCAGTTTGACGACTATTTTGGGCACTGCCCCCTTGGACATGGTCCAGTGACTTTGAATGAATTAGCAATTTTCATTGTTAAGTTTTACTGCTTAAGTTTGTTTGACATGTTTGATAGGATCAACTTGTGATAGATCCATGATATTTTATGTAAAGTTGCATTACTATCAGTACATATATATCAGTTTGACGACTTTTTTGAGGCACTGCCCCTTTAAACATGGTCCAGTGACTTTTTTAAAATTAATTAGCAATTGTCAATGTTAAATTTTCTGCTTAAAGTTAAATAGAGAGGAACTACTTACAATGATATCTTGTAAAAAGTTACATTACTGTCTGTACATCTCAGTTTGTCGACCATTTTCAGGCCCTGCCCACTAGATCATGGTCCAGCAACTGAATTAATAAGCATAATGTTGCTGTCCATCAGATTGTCTTTTTTGGAAATTTTATGCCCACAGGCCAGACATATCTCTATGCCAACAGTTTATTATTGTCTCACCTGCAACAAATTTTGCAGAATGCAAGACATAGGGATGCATATTTGGGGCATTTGCATCTGCCACGACAGCGACAGTCTTATTAACTATTTGTAAAAAATGTATACTTCAAGACCATCATGTGAATATCTTGTTTATTATGAAGAAAAGGATAGATATGCTGTCAAACCTAGATAAGTCAATTTGACAAAAGAAAACTATTTGACTCATCTGATATAAAAAAGAAGATGTGGTATGATTGCCAATGAGACAACTCTCCACAAGAGACCAAATGACACAGAAATTAACAACTATAGGTCACCGTACGGCCTTCAACAATAAGTAAAACCCATATTGCATAGTCAGCTATAAAAGGCCCTGAAATGAAAAATGTAAAACAATTCAAAAGAGAAATCTAATTGCCTAATTTATGTACAAAATAATGGACGAAAAACAAATATGTAACACATCAACAAACGACAACCATTGAATTACAGGCTCCTGACTTGGGACAGGCACATACATACAGAATGGGGTGGGGTTAAACATGTTAGCAGGATCCCCCCCCCCCCCCTAACCTGGGACAGTGGTGTAACAGTACAACATAAGAACGAACTATAAAAATCAGTTGAAAAAGGCTGAACTCATCAGATGGATACAAATAGAAATACATATAACAAAAACACAGTGGACGTGGCCGGGACGTGAGGTTAGATTCATACGAGGTCACAAGTTAATTGTGGTGTCCTATTTCTAAATTGTACCTTGTATTGTCAATCTGATATGTTAAAGGGGCAGACATATTTTTATTATGCCCCCGCCGTAGCGGAGGGGGCACTAAGTTTTACCCTTGTCCGTCTGTACGTCCATCCGTCTTTCCGTCCGTCCAATTGTTGTTTTTTTTTAAGCTTGAGGGTGGGCATTTGTGTCCTCAGACACTTTCTTTTTTTATTTATTATATGCATGGTTGAGTGAATCCATTAAATACTTTATGAAGGATCTTTGTTTTTTACTCCCTTCCGGCTATTAGACAAACTTCTTTTCTGATTAATCTGGTACTGGCTAATAAAACCATGTATTTTGACTATATGTACTGTGATTTTTCTCGATATTGTCAAGTCTGAATAAGTCAGACGAGAAGTAACATTATCAGACAGTATAAGATCTGTCATTGTCTTCTTTGTTATATTTAATAAACTATTCGAACGTTCCGCATTCGAGTCATCATAAACCTTATTCCCCATGGTCAAATATCAAGGCTGTTGACAAATAAGTTTTCCATGTACATGTAAAAAAAAATCTATAATAAAATTGAGAATGGAAATGGGGAATGAGTCAAAGAGACAACAACCCGACCAAAGAGCAAATAACAGCCGAAGGCCACCAAAGGGTCTTCAACACAGCGAGAAAATCCCGCACCCGGAGGCGGGCTTCAGCTGGCCCCTTAACAAAATGTGTACTAGTTCAATGAAAGTGGACGTCACACTAAACTCCAAAAACATATAAATGAACAAAAATTAAAAAACATACAAGACTAACAAAGACCAGAGGCTCCTGACTTGGGACAGGCGCAAAAAATGCGGCGGTTTAAACATGTTTAGTGTCAGATCTCAACCCTCCCCCTATACCTCTAGCCAATGTAGAAAAAACAAACACACAGCTAGCAATACGCACAGTAAAAACATGTCAAGGGTAAGATGTTATTAACTTGGTGAAAAAAGACAGTTTCTAATGAAATTCTGGTGAAAAAATCAAGCTGTCAACATCAAAATCTGGACAAAAACTATTAGGGGAAAAAGGCATAAAAGTGCCTTCTACCAATCTTTTAGGAAATAGAATAGAGAATGGAAAGTTTATTTATGATTTGTCATCTAATTTATTCAATGTCATAAAAATAAGAAGATATGGTATGAATACCAATGATTCAGCTATCCACCACCTGAGAGCAAATTTGTATCCACAACTGCAGCCCTCAACTGCTAGACAGAATTTTGTAAAACTTTCACAAATTATAATGTGCGAGCACTTTTTATGCCCCCATGGGGGGGGGGGGGGGCATTAAGCTTTACCCTTGTCCGTCTGTACGTCAGTCTGTCCGTACGTCCCAAATTTGGTTTCCGTTCTCTAACTTTAGTTTGCCTCATCCAAATGTTATGAAACTTATACACAGTGCTTATTACCACAAAACACAGATCAAGGTAGAATTTTGGTGTTTTCACTTTAACCGTTCTATAGTTATGTTCATTTACAAATGGAAAAGTTGCTGATTTTTTCGTTTCCGTTCTCTAACTTAAGTTTGCCTCAACCAAATGTAATGAAACTTATACAGAATACTTATTACCACAAAAGTAGATCAAGTACAAATTTGGGTAGCATCACTCTTACCGTTTTTTAGTTATGTCCCTTTATATGATATGCAAGCGGGGGCATCATCTGTGTCTAGTGGACACATTCCCCATTTATCTGATGTTAAAGATACCTATTTCCTATTTGCTCATTCTTTGAATTTTCATATGCCTGTCGAAGATCAAACATTTTATGGTATACCAATGTTCATCAGTCCGTCCAGCCATCAATCCATCAACACTTTGTACGATAACTCAAATTAGATTTACCCAACAATTGGAATGATGGAAGAATGGTCCCTTTTGATTTTAAAAATATTTTGCTATGTTGTTCCAAAGTTATGTAGCTTTAACGTTTTAGAGTTTAAAGCTTTTACATATTCAATTCAGGCAATTTCCACATATTACACACTTACTCCAGTATGCCTTGATTAATTTTGGGGATAAGAAAGTTGTCTATGACGACGGCAGTTGCAAAATATGCATATTTCGTTATTTTATAACGTTTTGAGATATCCATTTTACTTCTTTTTATTCCAAATGCATAATTTTGGGAGGGGGTGGGGGGTTAGGTTCGTAAGTACAAATGGTACTTCGACCTTATTGATTTCTTTTATTGAACAGTAAGAAGAATTTTCTTAAAAGATTTTCCTTAAAGATTTTACTTGATGCATATTAAATGTAACAAAAGGAAATTAAAAGGTTTAAGTACCAACTGCAAATAAATCACAAACAGAATTATCAGAATAACTTTCATTCTATTACATGTTTTTATGTATTGTCGTTCCTCTTTCATTTCTCTGTATTTCGTTTTTTTTTAAGTGGGTGAGGTGAGTGGTTACACGATCTTCCTTTCTTTTTGGTTGTTCTATATTTTTACCATCTTTTTATCTATTGTAATCTATTATCTCTTCTGTCTATTATTTCCTTTTGACTTTTGAAAACATATTCAACTTAGATTTATATATGAAGTAGAAGTCACACAACAACTATAGGTCACCATAAGTCCTTCAACAATGAGCAAAACCCATAACGCATAGTAAGCTAAAAAAGGCCATGAAATGACCAATGTGAAACAACTTAAACAAGAAAACTGACAGCCTAATTTATGTACAAAACAACAAACAAAAAACAAATATGTTATGCAGCAGCAAACGACATCAACTGAACTACTGGCTCTAGTTTTTTGTCGAGCCTGCGACTTTTGTCGCAGAAAGCTCGACATAGGGATAGTGATCTGGCTGCGGCGGCGGTGTTAACTAACTTCTTAAAAGCTTTATATTTTAGAAGGTGGAAGACCTGGATGCTTCATACTTTGGATATAAATTCCTTATGTTATGAAGTTTAATTTCCATCTGTCACATTTCCATTGTCCTTGACCTCATTTTCATGGTTCAGTGACTACTTGAAAGAAAAGTTAAGATTTTTTGTAATGTTAATTTCTCTCTTATTATGAGTAATAGGATAACTATATTTGGTATGTGCGTACCTTGCAAGGTCCTCATGCCTGTCAGACAGTTTTGACTTGACCTTGACCTCATTTCATGGATGAGTGAACAAGGTTAAGTTTGGGTGGTCAAGTCCTTATCTCAGATACTATAAGTAATAGGTCTAGTATATTTGGTGTATGGAAGGATTGTAAGGTGTACATGTCCAACTGGCAGGTGTCATCTGACCTTGACCTCATTTTCATGGTTCAGTGGTTATAGTTAAGTTTTTGTGTTTTGATCTGTTTTATACGCCCGTCAATTTTTGACGGGACGTAATATGGTATACAAATGTTTGGTGTCCGTCCGTCTGTCTGTCCGTCTGTCTGTCCGTCTGTCTGTCTGTCTGTCCGGCGTAAACATGTCGCACCGTAACTTGAGAATGACTTATCCAAATTTCATGAAACTTAACATAGTTGAAAATAAGATTAAAACTTTTTGAGTTACGGGACTTAGTAACTAAAACAGGTGTGTGTGTTTTTTTTTTCACATGTCGCGCCGTATCTCAAAAACAATTTATGATTATTGCTTAAAACTTTACACACTTCTTAGTTATATTAATCTTAAGATCTGTATACTTTTTGGTGATGATTCAAAATTTTATTTTAGAGATATTGAGTATTTCGTTAAAAAAGGGGGAGGGTTTTTCACATGTCGCGCCGTATCTCAAAAACAGTTTATGATTATTGCTTAAAACTTTACACACTTCTTAGTTATATTAACCTTAAGATCTGTATACTTTTTGGTGATGATTCAAAATTATATTTTTGAGTTATTGAGTATTTTGTAAAAAAAGGGGGAGAGGTTTTTCACATGTCGCGCCGTATCTCAAAAACAATTTATGATTATTGCTTAAAATTTTACACACTTCTTAGTTATATTAATCTAAAGATCTGTATACTTTTTGGTTTTGATTCAAAATTTTATTTTTGAGATATTGATTTTTTTTTTTTTAAAAGTGGGGTTTTCACATGTCGCGCCGTATCTCAAAAACGATTTATGATTATTGCTTACAATTTTACACACTTCTTAGTTATATTAATCTAAAGATCTGTATATTTTTTGGTTTTGATTCAAAATTTTATTTTAGAGATATTGAGTTTTTTGTAAAAAAAAAGGGGGGGTTTTCGCATGTCACGCCGTATGTCAGAAACTATTTATGCTTATTGCATAAAAATTAACACACAAGGCGACGGGCGTATCATGCACTCATGGCGCAGCTGTTTATTCTTATACTGTATGCAATAGGTCTACTATATTTGGTGTATGGAATGATTGTAAGGTGTACATGTCCAACTGGCAGGTGTCATCTGACCTTGACCTCACAGTCATGGTTCAGTGGTCAAATTTAAGTTTTTGAATTTTGGTCTTTTTTTCTTATACTATATGCAATAGGTCAACTATATTTGGTGTATGAAAATATAATATGATGTACATGTCAGTCTCGCATGTTTTATTTGACCTTGACCTCATTTTCATGGTTCATTGCTTAGTGTTAAGTTTTTGTGTTTTGGTCTGTTTTTCTTATACTATAAGCAAAATGTGAACTATATTTGTTGTATGGAAGGATTGTAAGTTGTACATGTCTACCTCGCATGGTTCATCTGACCTTGACCTCATTTTCATGGTTCATTGGTCAATGTTTAGTTTTCTTGGTCAAGTCTTAGAAACTATAAGCAATAGGTCAACTATATTTAGTGTATTGAATGGTTGTAAGGTGTACATGTATTTCTCGTTTGGTTTATATGACCTTGACCTCATTTTCTTGGATCATGATAAGTTTATGCAATAGTTGTAGTAAAGCTTTATATTTAGGACTATCAACATAATATCAATGGTTAGTAAAGAAGGCAAGACATTTCAGCGTGTGCACTCTTGTTTAAACTAGTTACAATTTTGTTATAATGACAGTTCACTTGCACTTATGTCATTGCACCAATGCATTACTGGTTTGCTTCCCATTTTGAATACGCCGGATGTATTATGGTATACCGTTGTCCGTCCATCTGTCTGTCCCTCGTCATTATATTGGACAATAACTCAAAAATGCTTTGAGCAGTTTTCAAGAAACTTTGATGACTGGTTTATATCCATTAAAAAAACCTCCCTGTAGTTTTTATAAATTTAAGATACGACATTGAGAAGTTATTGAACTTTATTCTTCAAAAAAGCACCGGGCATATCATACGCTCATGGCGCAATTGTTTATTTAGTTTAGATGTCAGGAAGAACAGGCGGAGGAGGCATTAAGCTTAACCCTTGCCTGTCTGTTCGTCCGTATGTCCGTCCATAGGTTAAGTTTAGATTTGGGTGGTGTCACTTACACCGTTCGCGAGTAATGTTCTTTATAAATGGAAAAAATGCTGAATATGTTGTTACCGCACTCTAACCTAACTTTGCCACAACAAAATGTTCTAAAAGTTATACACAATGCTTATTACCACCAAACACAGATCAATTTTGAATTTCTATTTGGGTGGTGTTACTTTCACTGTTTTTGTGTTATGCCCCTTTATCATGTTGTTTATAAATTGAAAATTGCCAAATTTGCTGGATTGCACACTTTATCATTTTTACTGATCTTGAGTTATGCCTATTTAGAACTGGAAAAAATTCTTTTGTCAGCACTTTTCCTGTTGTATGCACTGACTAAACATTTCATTTCCATGCTCAAAAGTTTAAATAAGAAATTAGAAAAAGACCTTGACCTTTTACTTTGACTTCATTTTCACCATGGACTTTTAATCAATAGACCCAAAATCTCTATCATTTACCTTTTGCATTTATGTTTGAAGAAATGCCATGTATTACTGGTTTGTTATTGTGTCGGAGTAATGCAAGAATTATGCAGACCCATTTTTGAACCTGCAAGTTTTATTGTAGTCAGCGTGAATGGCAAAGGGAAATAACTCGTACAATAATTGTGACAACTACTATTGTTTGCAATACATTTACAGTAACAAGTATCATACTATATTTTGCAGGCCGTTGATAGATTGGGTGGGCAGCAAATGAAGCAGGAGTGCGATCGTCTAAAAACCAAACCTCTAGATCAAACCAACGAAGAAATAATGATACACATCAAAAGGTCTAATGAAGAAATTAAGGGGCTGACGAAATCATTAAGAAATCTGAAACGCTCACATATTGATATGAAAAAATCCCATAAAATACTACAAGGAAACCATAAGAAAGTAAAGAAATCCCATGAAATGTTAAAAGAAGACCATGCATCTATGACAAAAGAAATGGAAATAATTAAGACCTCCCAGCAGGATACAGTACCATGGAATATTCGAGGTAACCAGTAGTCAGATCATATTTAACTTGGGTTATTAGTAAATTGGTTTTGCTCATCGTTAAAAAATGTATGATAACCTATAGTTACTAACATTTTTTAAACATACCACATATCCTTTTGATATCAAATGAAACTTTGAATGGTCGTCTTTCAACCTAGAGCTAACAATCTCGGAGTGATAAGACCTTATCAACCTTTTACAGTAACTTAAATTTGTCTGTATTCTCTAGTTGTTAGTGTCTATATTACATTTGATAGGTACTCAATATTATTGATATGTTCATTCATTGTAATAGGCAATGTTTCTTTGAAATAGTGTCACATATGTTAACATAATTTTCACTCTCTGGTTGTTCAGTTGAATGTTCAGATTTATATAAAAATAAGGAGATGTGATATGATTGATAATGAGACAAATATCTTTTAGAACCTAAAGATGTGACTGTAAGTAACTATAGGTCACTAAAGGTCCTTCAACAATTATCAAAACATACATACAGTAAGCTATACAAGGCCCTGACTACAAAATTGAAATGATTCATACATGAAATCTAGCAACCTGTTGTATGCCAAAACAATTAACAAAATATAAATATGTCAGCCATGCTTCTAACTTAGGACAGACCCCTTGAATAAGGAGGTATTTTTTAGTATGTTTGCAAAGTGTTCTGTCACAACCTAACCTTCAACAGTGGTGAAATATCACAAAGTAGGCGCAAACTGTAAAAATTATTTGAAAATGGTTTGATTCTTTATATTTGCATTGGACACAAAGAACGACAATAGACACACAAGATCTAAGAGTAGTCACAATTACTGAAATGTAATTCAAAGGCCTTTACAATTAGTGAAGAAATCATGTTTCCTAGACTAAAACTATGCATCCAACAGAGGAAAACTAATTATAAGTATTGACTGGATATATGACCATACAAGTTTTAAACAGGATAGAAATACATATTTATTCATGTTTTAATGTATTGATAACCACACAGATGTAGTGCTGTTAAAGACAATTTTCCAATATCTTAATAGTGATAAACCTATAACCTTTCAGAAAAAGTTTATTGAAATGATCGGTTTTATCTTTATTAAGCGATATTTAAGATTGAATTACAGGCTCCAGACTTGGGACAGGCACATATAGAAAGTGGTGGGGAAAAACAGGTTTGCAGGTGCCCTATATTCCCCTAACCTAGGGCAGTGGTGTTACAGCACAACATAACACCAAACTATTAAAAGGGCTTAACTCATCAGATCCATACAAAGCAAGCACAAAAACAGCTAACAAAAACAGAAAAGACACAATGTACAGAACTGAGAGTACTTGCAGTTACTAAAAGCTAGTTCAAAACCAATAACATCTTATGCAAAACACATGTTTCTTAGACTATGATATCAATCAGTATACATCCAAAATCATTACAAGGTAATACACATGTCCTTTAGACAGCCTTCTCCTAACCTTGACCTCATTTCATGGATCAGTAATCAATGTAAGTTTTCTTGATTAGCTCTGTTACTAAGACAAAAAAAAATCAACCAGTAAATATTGATTTTGTATGTAATAATAATATAGTAATATAACAATGATATTTGATTTTGAATCAATAAGAAATATGTTAGATGTTAATTATATTGAATCATTATTGATATCTTAGTCCTGATGAAGGTAAATTCAGAAAAGCCTTATAATGGTATGACGATGTTTTTGTCGTTGTCGTCAGAAGCCTCTTAGTTTCCAGACAATAACTTAAGTATAAGTGTATGGATCTCTGAGGAATTTTACCACAAGATTTCATACCACAAATAAAGATTGGTATTGATTTTGGGGTTTTATGTCCTAGCTGTTTAGGAAATTAGGGACAAAAAGGGTGAAAAAAAAGCATTTATCTTGTTTCAGTACAATAATTTGAGTATATGTATATGGATCTCTATAAAATTGTACCACAATGTTCAATTCCAAAATACAAGCGTGGGATTGATTTTTGTGGTTATTGTCCTAACCGTTTAGGAATTATGGGCCATTAAGGGGCCAAAAACAATACTTTTCTAAATTTTGTATAAATTGCTTACCGGTACCTATTTCAATGGGGTTTTATTCAAAGTCTTGAATTCTTGGGGTTCTTCAATATGCTGAATCTAATTGTATTTAGATTTTGGATTTTGTCCCCTTTTTAAAATTGGTCAAACTTGAGGTCTGATGGGTTCAAAATTAAACTTTGCTGGATTTAATCAAAAATTGAATTTATGGAGTTTTTTGATGTGCCGAATCTTACCGTGTTTAGATTTTCGTCTCGTCTGTGAAGAAAATCAAGAAAGGCAAGACATCATGGACCTAGGTATTGCTTTTCTTGCAACGACAACGGGGTCAAAAATTGTTAAGTTTTCTGCTTAAGTTAGTTTGATAGGAACCAGTTACAATAGGCAACCATATTTTCTATGAAGTTAACATTACGATCAGAAAGTCCAAAATTGATTTTACCAAAAATTGAATTCTGGGGGTTCTTTGATATGCTGAATCTAATCATGTATTTATCTTTTTGATATTGGCCCAGTTTTCAAGTTGGTACATATCAGTGTCTAAAATTAAACTTTGTTTGATTTCAACAAAAATTAAATGTATGGGGATCTTTGATATGCTGAATTTAATCGCCTTATTATTTATATGTTGGATTTTGGGCCCTGTTATCAAATTGTTGCACATTGAGGTCCAAAGGATCCAAGCTTAAACTTTGTTTGATTTCATCAAAAATAGTTTTTTTGGGGTTCTTTGATATGCTGAATCTAACCATGTATTTAGATATTGGACCATAATAGGTCAATGTCCAATTTCAAATATTTAAGTTCTTCGACCATATTCTTGAATATTGTGTCCATACTTGCCCAAACTGTTTAGGATTTCACTTTTGTGGTCGTATCAAGCTGTGTCATGAGAAGCATTTTATTTAAACATATTACAAATATATTGTCACTGTTTGGTCTATGGGAGAATTGATGCATACTAAATGCATATTACAAACATTCCAAGAAGAAATTTGAAAAGAAATAAAAACTAATTGACAACAATATATTCCAAGAATAAAAATGAGATTTGTGAGTTTCAACAAAGTGCACCATTGATAATGACAGTAATGTTAAACCCTTAAAAGTGTAGACCAATCAGTTATATTGATCAATTAGTCATTTATTGTACAGAGGTGATTGATTTATCTTTGCTATTTTTATTTCAGCAAGAAATGAACAATTACTCAAAACCTGGAAGGACAGTGATAATAAGATGTTTGTTAACACAAGAGCTGCAGAGCATATTCTCAAATGTATAAAGGAAAACAGTTGTGTAACTATTACAGCTAATTCTGGTGTAGGGAAGACAGCAACACTGAGACATGTAGCTTTACAGATGGAAGAAGAATATGATGTACTTATGGTTACAGAGCCAGGTGACATTCTGAGGTTTTACAATCCAAATAAGAAAACATTGTTTGTTGTTGATGATTTATGCGGAAAATTTTCACTTACCAGAGTGACATTAAATGTTGGGAACCAATCATGGAGGATATAAAAAAGAATCCTAATAAAAAACAAACAAAAATTCTTGCAGCATGTCGGTTACAAGTGTACCAAGATGAAAAGTTTGAATCTTTGTCAATTTTTAAGTCATGTGTGTGTAACATGTTATCAGAGAACATTTGCTTGTCAAAAACTGAAAAAAAATCAATAGCTAAGTTGTATCTCAATGCAAAAGCTTCTGAGATAAGTGACTTTTATGATATTTATGACTGTTTTCCTCTTTTATGTAAATTGTACCATGATAATCCTGAACTTATTATAACAGATTTCTTTCAAAATCCATTTTCAATTTATGAAGCAGAGATTGATAATTTCTTGAAGAAAGGGCATTACGGTAAATACTGTGCTTTGGCTTTATGTGTTATGTTTAACAACAAATTAAAGGAAGAAATGTTGACAGAACAAGTTAATGAAGAAACCAGGATTATCATTGAAAACACATGTGAGGCATGCAGATTAGACAGGGGAACATCAAGACTTGTATTACAGGATGAACTTGACTCACTCACACATACATTTATAAAGAAAGAACAAAACATGTACAAAATTTTACATGATAAAATATTTGACTTTCTTGCTAAGATCTATGGCAAAAATATTATATATTGCTTAATAAGGAATGCAGACAGTGGTTTAATCAAGGAACGATTTTTATTAGAAACAAAAGATAACATGGATCCGTTTATTACTATAATACCTAAAAAGTATCATCAGATGTACATACAGAGAATGATTGATGACTGGTCAAATGGAAAATTACAAGATGTATTTAGTAACATCAATATGAAGATACCTCAGTTCAGGCAGAAATTGCTCTGCTATTTGAAAACACTAGATATATCCAACCAGACAAAACTGGCAAATATCTGTGATGAACATAAATCATTATTTAAAAACCGTTATTCGGTGATGTTTGATGATGAGGATACCTATGAAACTTCATTATTACATTGTTGTTATTTAGGAGATATTTCTTTGGTCAAGTGGTGTTGTGATCATGGTGTAGATGTAAACAGATGTTCGTCTATTGATCAGTCGCCCATAATGAAGGCTTGTGAACATGGTCATATAGAAATAGTAAATATGTTGTTAGACAGAGGAGCCGACTATAATGAATTTTATGAAGATGACAGATCACCTTTAATGGCGGCTTGTGAACATGGTCATACAGAAATAGTAAAGGTGTTGTTAGACAGAGGAGCAGACTGTAATAAATGTAACAGGTCGGGTCAGTCACCTGTAATGAAGGCTTGTAAAAATAGTCATACAGAAATAGTAAAGATGTTGTTAGACAGAGGAGCAGACTATAATAAATGTTACTGGTTAAGTCAGTCATCTGTAATGGACGCTTGTGGACATGGTCATACAGAAATAGTAAAGATGTTGTTAGACAGAGGAGCAGACTGTAATAAATGTGACGGGTGGGGTCAGTCATCTGTAATGGAGGCTTGTGAACATGGTCATACAGAAATAGTAAAGATGTTGTTAGACAGAGGAGCAGACTGTAATAAATGTGACGAGTGGGATCAGTCACCTGTAATGAAGGCTTGTAAAAATGGTCATACAGAAATAGTAAAGATGTTGTTAGACAGAGGAGCAGACTGTAATAAATGTGACAGGTGGGGTCAGTCACCTGTAATGAAGGCTTGTAAAAATGGTCATGCAGAAATAGTAAAGATGTTGTTAGACAGAGGAGCAGACTGTTATAAATGTGACGAGTGGGGTCAGTCATCTGTAAAGGAGGCTTGTGAACATGGTCATACAGAAATAGTAAAAATGTTGTTAGACAGAGGAGCAGACTGTAATAAATGTGACAGGAGAGGTCAGTCTCCTGTAATGGAGGCTTGTGAACAAGGTCATACAGGCATAGTAAAGATGTTGTTAGACAGAGTAGCAGACTGTAATAAATGTAATTGGTTAAGTCAGTCATCTGTAATGAAGGCTTGTAAAAATGGTTATACAGAAATAGGAAAGATGTTGTTAGACAGAGGAGAAGACTGTAATAAATGTGATGAAGATGACAGATCACCTTTAATGGAGGCTTGTGGACATGGTCATACAGAAATAGTAAAGATGTTGTTAGACAGAGGAGCAGACTGTCATAAATGTGATAAATATGACAGATCACCTTTGATGCAGGCTTGTGAACATGGTCATTCAGAAATAGTAAAGATGTTGTTAGACAGAGGAGCAGACTGTTATAAATGTGATAAATATGACAGATCACCTTTAATGGAGGCTTGTGAACATGGTCATACAGAAATAGTAAAGATGTTGTCAGACAGAGGAGCAGACTGTAATCAATGTTACTGGTTTAGTCAGTCATCTGTAATGGAGGCTTGTGTACATGGTCATACAGAAATAGTAAAGATGTTGTTAGACAGAGGAGCAGACTGTAATAAATGTGGTGAAGATGACAGTTCACCTTTAATGGAGGCTTGTGTACATGGTCATCCAGAAATAGTAAAGATGTTGTTAGACAGAGGAGCAGACTATAATAAACTTGACTGGAGGGATCAGACACCTGTAATGAAGGCTTGTAAACATGGTCATACAGAAATAATAAAGATGTTGTTAGACAGAGGAGCAGACTGTAATAAATGTGATGAAGATGACGGATCACTTTTAATTGAGGCTTGTGAACATGGTCATATAGAAATAGTAAAGATGTTGTTAGACAGAGGAGCAGACTATAATAAACGTGACTGGAGGGGTCAGTCTCCTGGAATGAAGGCTTGTGAACAAGGTCATACAGGCATAGTTAAGATGTTGTTAGACAGAGGAGCAGACTGTAATAAATGTGACGAAGGTGACAGTTCACCTTTAATGGAGGCTTGTTAACATGGTCATACAGAAATAGTAAAGATGTTGTTAGACAGAGGAGCAGACTATAATAAATGTGACGGGTGGGGTCAGTCTCCTGTAATGAAGGCTTGTGTACATGGTCATACAGAAATAGTAAAGATGTTGTTAGACAGAGGAGCAGACTGTAATAAATGTGATGAAGATGACAGATCAGCTTTAATGGAGACTTGTGGACATGGTCATATAGAAATAGTAAAGATGTTGTTAGACAGAGGAGTAGACTTTGATAAATGTGATGAAGGTGACAGTTCACCTTTAATGGAGGCTTGTGAACATGGTCATATAGAAATAGTAAAGATGTTGTTAGACAGAGGAGCAGACTAATAAATGTGACAGGAGGGGTCAGTCACCTGTAATGAAGGCTTGTGAACAAGGTCATACAGGCATAGTCAAGATGTTGTTAGACAGAGGAGACTGCAATAAATGTGACGAGTGGGGTCAGTCTCCTGTAATGAAGGCTTGTAGACATGGTCACACAGAAATAGTTAAGAGGTTGTTAGACAGAGGAGCAGACTGTAATAAATGTGATGAAGGTGACAGTTCACCTAAAATGGAGGCTTGTGAACATGGTCATAACGAAATAGTAAAGATGTTGTTAGACAGAGGAGCAGACTGTAATAAATGTAACTGGTTAAGTCAGTCATCTGTAATGGAGGCTTGTGTACATGGTCATACAGAAATAGTAAAGATGTTGTTAGACAGAGGAGCAGACTATAATAAATGTGATGAAGATGACAGATGACCTTTAATGGAGGCTTGTGTACATGGTCATACAGAAACAGTAAAGATGTTGTTAGACAGAGGAGCAGACTGTAATAAATGTGACAGGTGGGGTCAGTCCCCTGTAATGAAGGCTTGTGAACATGGTCATACAGAAATAGTAAAGATGTTGTTAGACAGAGGAGCAGACTGTAATCAATTTGATAGTAGTCAGTCACTGTTAATGATGGCTTGTAAACACGGTCGTTTAGAAATATTTAAGATGTTGTTAGACAAAGGAGCAGACTATGATAAATGTGACAGTTTGGGCAAATAACCTGTAATGAAGGCTTGTGAACATGGTCATACAGAAATAGTAAAGATGTTGTTAGACAGAGTGCAGACTTAAAAACATGTTATTGGATGGGTCATTCATTAATGATTGCCTATGAAAGAGGTTACAATGATATAGTTGATATGATTAATCAACATTCCAGTCTTAAGATAGCTTGAAATTAAAGTTTAAACAATTTTTTAAATGTTTTAAAGCGTGTGATTAATGCTATGTTGATTGTTAAACATGTGTGTATTATATTTTGATACCTGTTATATTGACAGTTTGATATTCTACTTATTTTCAAGAGACTTACTAGTTATTGCTTATATTGCTTAACCTATTAGAGATATATGTATTTAAATCGGTTGTTATAACTAATAATTGTATGTTGTATTTACAAAGTACAAATATTATGACAAGACATTTTATAGTCATTGCTTCTATTGTTAAACCTTTAGAGATATATGTATTCAAATGAGATATAATAATTAAGAGCAATTTTCTGTAACCACCAAGCATTTTATATAGGGGGGTCGGCACGCATAGTCAACCGATTTTCATGAAACTTAGCCAAAACATGTGATCATGTAAAAAAGTAAGAAAAATGCCCACCAAAATATTGCTAGGCCATGGTTGCCATGGCAACCAAGTGAATGAGATTTCCCGCAAATTTTGAGGAATTTAGCATCGAAAAAACAACTACTTTGCAGTCATTCATAATCAAAACCAGGTTTTATTTATTGATATTTGTAAATATTTTTCAGAAACATGATACTTAACAAACAAAATAGCAATTTCATATATAAAAAATATTTTTGCTGAATATTGTCACAACCGCAGAAGCAGAGGTCATTTTTCATTGTTACAGTAGTTGGGTTGACAAATTTCACACATTTTGCATGAACAAAATAGACATTTTTGCATCCACCTCCATTTAAGCTGTGGTTATGAATGAAAAGTATCAATGTTTCTTACCAATAAATTATAACAAAATGTTTGGGATATTGGGTTCTAGGATGGTTGCTATGGAAACAAAAATGTGTCATTTTTGCCTTTTTACCTCTAAAATGTGACCATGTTAAAAATAATCCACAAAAAGTAATAATTATTGAATGACTATGATGTGCAAACTATTGGCAGTTAAATTACCATAAATTTGTCCAGAGGTCAAAGGTAATTGATGACCTTGACCTTTGACCTTGTGAATATTAATTGAATTTTGAAAGAAAATGTAATAGAAAGAGGCATACTATACATGGAGAAAATGTTCAGGACGTTTTAAGCCACTATTTTATTTACATATGAAAAATAAAGAGTCAAGGTCATGTCAAAAGTTCTTAGCAACCACCCTTATTTGATAAAAAAAAGTACCTAGCGACCATACATGATTTCATTCAGGACTATATAAACTATTACATAGACCTAACTTAAAAGGTCTAGGTGGGGGGGGGGGGGGGGGGGGGGGGGGGTTGTCATCACATAAGTTTTAAACAATCATTCATTTAAAGTGTAAAAATGCCTAGCAACCATTCATTTATATTAGGAAAGTGCCTAGCAACCATCTATTTATATTGAAAAAGTGCATAGCAACCATTTATTTATTTAGAAAAACTGCGCAGCAACAATATATTTTAGGTTTCTTTGGGACGACAAAAATCAGAAAAAACATGCAGTTTTCTTTAAGAACACATGTCTAATCCAGAATAGTAAATAATATAGCAAATTCAATTTCATGAAACTGATTACACATTCATATACAAAAATTTAAAAGATGTCGTCCGATGAGACAACTCTCCAGAAGACAACCAAATGTTATTCTTAAGACAGGTCCTTTGAATCAACAAGAAGAAGAGAAAAGGAATATAACTACTAAGAGATCGATGAGTTTATGTCATTGGTTGGGATTGGCCTTTCGAGCATAGACAAAATATTCATTTACAATGACAATTTTTGTTTCCATAGCAACTATCCTAGAACCCAATATCCCAACATTCTGTTATAATTTATTGATTAGAAACATTGATACACACTGTTTTTTTATTTTAAATCGTTTGTGGCTGATGTGCATCTGAATGTACAGAAAATTCCTTTTCAGCATGTTTTGTGCAATATTATTGATCTTCAGATCAAGACACTATCACATTGATTTCCTTAAACATCCATTATCCCCATCACAAAATATAAAATGGTCTTTCCTAACTAATAGAACTACCCTGCATCCGCTCATTACTATGTTTGTATTTCAACAGTGGAAGATTAAGAAAAAAAATTATTAACAAAAATACGTTGTGTGTTTAGCAAAAGTTATTTTTTAATAGAGCCACAGAGCCAATTGAGATTTACTCATAACATTGGGCTAGTCGTCGTTAACTTTAAAAAAAAATTCTCCTCTCAAATTAATAATCGAACAGACTAGGCCAATCAGGATCCCTTTTTTGGCCCCATAATATAGAATTATTACAAATTTGCTAAAAATGTAAACTCTAATGCTATTTATAAGAAAGTGGAATGCGTTTGTTTGATAAATATGAGTCGTCTTTGACAACACAATGGACACGCGTCAGGTACTTGAATTAATATGTCATGCAAAAATACTGAAATTTTAGCATTTGTGCTAATTGTAAGACGGTTTTTGTCTTAAGTGGAAGTGGTGGCACTTGTGTTCAGTCTTAATATTAGAATAACAATATTGTATGTAATGAAAATGCATTACATATATAAATGTTGAGACTGAACATGAATTCGGCAACTTCCATTTTAGACAATAAAAACATCCTAAAAATGAAATTTAATAGCAAATTTGATAGATTTTCATATTTGAACTTGAATTTTAGCATTTGTTATGACCAAATCAGTTCAAATCTTTAACACAAACTGATTGATTCAAGTGAAGTACACACTTAAGTGTCTAAAATGTAACATTTTTGACAAAATTATCTTTTACCGGACTTCTCCTTAAACCAGATTTGGACACAATCATCATTAGAGTATGTACTTTAAAAATGTATCCCATGATGGCTTTCATGGTTAAAATAGAATATAGGAGCAAAATGCAAGTTTAAATTGTCTATCATCATGAAAATTGTTATAAATAGAAAAACCTGACAGGATCTTTAATATTCCGAGTGAAGGGATCTACCAACTATCTATTTACAGGGGAGTTTCTGGCCTGAAAGAATGAATTTTAACCTTTTTTATGCCCCGCTGAAGCAGACGCGGCATTAAGTTTTACCCTTGTACATCTGTATGTACGTCCGTATGTCCCAAAGTTGGTTTCCGTCCTCTCATTTTAGTTTGCCTCAACCAAATGATATGAAACTCATATACAATGCTTATTGCCACATAATACAGATCAATTTCGAAATTAGGTGGCGTCACTTTTACCGTTTTGGAGTAAATTAATGTTCCTTTATAAACATAATAATTGCTGAATTTTTCGTTTCCGTTCTCTTACTTTAGTTTGCCTCGACCAAATGATATGAAACTTACACACAATGCGTATTACCTCAAAACACAGATCAAGTTCGAAATTGGATGTGGAGTTACGTCCCTTTATAAACTTAAAAATTGCTGAATTTTTCATTATCGTTCTCTAATTATAGTTTGCCTCAGCCAAATGTTGTTAAACTTGTATACAACGCTTATTGCCACATAATACAGATCAATTTCGATATTGGGTGGCGTCACATTTACCGTTTTGGAGTTATACGCCATTATAAACATAATAATTGCTGATTTTTTTTTCGTTTCCGTTCTCTTACTTTAGTTTGCCTCAACCAAATGTTATGAAACTAATACACAATGCTTATTACCACATAATACAGATCATGTTTGAAATTTACTGGCTTCTCTTTTA